GGGAGGGCAGAAAGAAAAACTCACGGAAAGTACCAGTGCGCGTTCTCAATGCTGCAACCTTAACAGTACAGCATGTTATAAAACCTTGGATTTTATAAAGCCTTGATTTGTACAAAGCAGTTCTGAGTGAATGCAGACATTAATACTGGTGACGGAGTTTCAAAAGCAGATATATAAAGGTTTAGAGGAAGACCAGTGGGAGAGGACCAATTCCCCCCCCCCAAAAAAAAATTCCCCAGGGGATAAAAGCAGAAACAAATGTAAAAGAAGCCTCCCACTATTTTCCCCAGGCCTTCACATGTCTGTAGCCAGCAGGGAAGAGGAGAAAAGGTTGACTAGAGAAGTATTCTGAGTAAAGCAGTGACGCGTGTGGGTCGGGGGGGGGGGAATTGCCACGTGCACCTGTGGCCATGTGCATGCACAGACTTTTAAAACAATGTGGGCAGGTGTACATTCAGGAATTGACTTGACAGTTATAGTCTTGTACTTACAAAGAGGACAAATTTGCCTTTCTGCTCAATGCTTACTTTTGTCATTCAAACCCACTGGACTTCTTTGTATTCAAAGCACACAGCAATGGGGGAGGGGGGAAGAAAACAAGTCCCAGTCAGATTAAAAAAGTGATTTTTTATTTTTAAATTAATAAAAAACCTTCAACCTGTTTAAGCAAGAGTCTGATTTTAAAACCTAAAAAAAGGAGGAGGAGGAGCAGGAGGAGCCTTGACTCCTTGCCTGCCAAAAGGGAACAACACTGCCAAAAGATCCATCTTCTAGGGAGGTGGATGCCTCTGCATGTGTATATCTATATATCTATATATATAGATATATATATATACCTTGAACGTTTAAGTAGTTTCCTTTCTGGCTTAGCCTCCCAAATGCTTAAACATTGTCCTTCTTAAAGGAAAACAACTTGAAAGCTGCAGTGGCGGGAAAGAACCGTTCCCCAGATCAGGGGAGAGGCAGGGCGAGAAGAAATGTTTAAGTCTGTGATAAGGTACAACACATAATTAGTTTCAGCTACTTGGGGCACACTTGCTGTAGACATCATGAAAGTTTCAAGAGGCCGAACGTGGGGAGATGGGCATAAACCCAAGTGAGAGCATCCCCAGTTAAAACAAAAACAAAACCAGGTTGCACACACACAGGCAAGAAGAGCTGGCTGTCCATATGGTTTTGCTGGAGTGCCTATGTATGCATGGGCTTCTCCCCAGAATGGCAGTGCAAGGTACATACTCCTTTGCATGTACAAAAATTGTAGGCAGAAATCAACATGGTACTCAAAGAGGGGAGCCCCGGCAATATTTCTAACAGTGGAGGAAGTTTGCACGACTCCATTATTTCTTCCCAAGCTCCTCCTTTGGCCTACAGGAAAGCTGTGTGGAGCAAATCCAGATGTGGGGAAAAGAAGTCCCCCATCTCCATCGCAAGACACAACACAGGCCGAGGCGTTACAGCTGGATTCCTTCAGTAGGTCGCACCCGTCTAGTAGGTTCTCTGAAGCACCAGTGTTCCAGCAGGAACTGCTTCCCGCATCACTCCCATGCCTACACACAGACACACACACACACACACACACACACACACACACAGAGGCAACCGCAATTTGAGGCCTGCGGTTTCTCTCGGAGAGGTTTCCCAAGGCCCTTCAACCATCTCAGCTGCTACAGGTGTCTCCCCACCACTGGGAACCAAGGGAAAAGCAAGAGGAGAGCAACAAAAACACAAGAGAGCCAGCTTCCAAGTCCTTCTTAACCCTTCCAACCTCCCTCACACACAAACATGTTCAAGGGACTTCTGTCCCCCAAAACCAATGTGGCCACCCTTCTTCCAAAGCAGTGTTCTCAGAGTGCCACCTGGATCTTTGCAATTCTGTTGCTTTCATTTGTGACATATATACATTAGATATATTTATATATTATAGTTATATATATTTTTTTCTTTTAAAAAAAGAGAAAAGACAAGTTATTAACTCTCCTGAAGAGTGGATGGGGTGGGGGGAGAAGAAGGAAAAAGAAAAAAGGTCAACAGGGATGACTGATGACAGGTCATCAGTGTTGTTTAAAAAAAACACTATAAAATATTCCAGTGCGAACTTCAGGGAAAAAAAAATCCCCCACCCCATTCCCCGTGCCCCCTGGATTTGCCATACCCTGCTGCCCCCCAGCTTCTTCCCCTATTCCAAAAACATCAAGTCTTATCTCTGGCCATCCATTGCCGTCATGGCTTTCTGCTGGGGAGGGCCTTGCTGAGACACAGGAGGCCACATGGGCTGCTGATGGTGGAGGTGATGGTGGAGGTTGTGACTGGTGGGTGATGAAGGAGGGATCCAGGTAGGCTGGTGGTTGGGAGGTGAAGAAGCCCAGAATGGACTGAAGCTACCAGGTGGAGAACAGGCCATGGATGTGATAGGGCTGTTGCTGCTCTGGAGATTCTCTGAAGTCCGCAGCTTGGAAAACATAGCAAGAGCGTCTGGGAAGTTGGGCGGTGTGGCTGGAGTATTGCTGGGTGTACACATCTGGAGAAGAGAGAGAAAAAGCAGGAGTATAACGTAAGATTCCTGTTGCTTAGTCAGCGCAGCACTGACACAATAACTCAAGGCTGTGCTCATCCCCGTTCAAAATAATCAAGCACGAGGGATTGTTCCCAGCACTTCCTGCCCATGCGTATTCAGTGGCTTCCCCTCTTCCCCTAATTAACCAGCCTGAAAAAGACATAACTTAACCCAGACTAATTTCCAATCCATGTCCAGGATCCTCATCAGATTAATCACCGCCTGCCCCGGGTTACAGACCCCAGAGCTTAGCACCCCAACATGCACTGAAAGGCCAGGGGTGCGTGTATCATCTCTGTATTTTCATAAGCATCTAACCATCCTGACCATAAGAACCAAGTGGATGTTCTGAAAAGGTATCTCACACACCACAGCACTGTTGGTGTGCACCCAGAGTTGAAGGGTAGAGATTTTCCCAGCACTTTATTTCTCTTGGAAAACTGATGTTTCATGCGTAACTCATGAACTGTGACAGGATGCCAGTTGGAAATGCAGAATTCAACAAGCTTGGTCATCTTAAGGTTTTCTGGAAGCACCTTATCACTACCTGAAGACAATAGCTTGGGCAGGAAACCATTGGGAACCTCATGGAAATGAAAAGGATTATACGTGCAATCCAGTGATTACAGAAATGTGCATAAAGGTAACCCATCCAGCTGTATCCATCTGTGTCCCGTTCAGTGCTGCACTGGCCACCCCACAGAGCCAACTCAAGTCTTCCTACAATGTAGGATGGGACTTGAGCCTCTTCAGAAGATCACCTGATGCCCTCCCCAAAAGCAGGCCACCGCTTCCTCCTACTTGTTACAAATAGCAACACAGGAGGCTGCCTTATACAGGGTCACATGGGACCACTGAGCCCAGTGTCATTGGCACTGACTGGAAGCCATGACTCTCCAGGGTTTCAGGCAGGAGTTTTTCCTACCTTGTCCGGAGCCCCAGGAATCACCTGGGAGCTTCAGCACATGGAAGCTCATGCTCTTACTGAGCTCTGGCCCCTTCCTGTGCTGCAGGAGGAAGGGCTAGCAGGCGGCGGATCTGAGGGTCTGGCCTCAACTGTTGCTAGTTAATAATCTGTTGCATCCGTCCCCAGTAAAGCACTTTTGGCAGGGAGGGAGGTGGAGAAAGAAAAAACGAGATGTGGAAATAGGGGCTCAGTGATCAGTGAGGGGGAACGAGGTCAGCGCCTGGTACGCCTACCTTGCTCTGCTGCCCCTGTGACAAGTCTGAGTGCTGATGTCTGCGTATTAAAAATTAGGGTTTTGAGTCTAGGTATTAAGCATTTCCCACTATTAGGAAGCCAAGGATTGCATCTGATGTTAATCAGACTTAAAGTAGATCCCACTTGAAATTAATGGGATACATGTTAATCGTGATTAACTAAAGTCCCATATATTTCAGCAGGTCTATTCCGAGTAGGACTAACATTGGGTGCCGCCCCCAAGTAATTCCCACTTTCACAAACTCCCAGAAAGCAGTGCGTGCACGGCCCCAAACGGGTCCAGCAATAGAAAGAGACAACTCCTTTTCCTGAATAGAAGCTTCGAACGGTAGAAGCAACCTACTCATATCAGCATCAGGTCTAAAGGAATAGAAATTATTTGTCTATAAAGGAAGGAAGACATCAGTCTTTTCTCAGCTTTGATTTCTTTTGCATGAAAGCTCACCACATAAGCTAATGCTGCACTTCATAAAGCTTGGACCCTACAATAACACTACAAGTACTATGGCTCTTTAAGTATAGAAAGCACAGGGCTTTTGAGGGGATGTGTGAGCAGGGAGTGAAAGGTACAGCTAACTGTTGCTAGTCGCGAAGTTGTGTCCGACCCATTGTGACCCCATGGACAACACTCCTCCAGGCCTTCCTGTCCTCCACCATCCCCCAGAGTCCACTTAAGCTCACACCAACTGCCTCAGTGACTCCATCCAGCCACCTCATTCTCTGCTGTCCCCTTCTTCTTTTGCCGTCAATCGTTCCCAGCATCAGGGTCTTCTCCAGGGAGTCCTTCCTTCTCATTAGACGGCCAAAGTATTTGAGTTTCATCTTCAGGATCTGGCCTTCTAAAAAGCAGTCAGGGTTGATCTCCTCTAGGACTGACCGGTTTGATCGCCTTGAGGTCCAAGGGACTCGCAGGAGTCTCCTCCAGCACCACCATTCAAAGGCCTCAACCCTTTGGCGTTCAACCTTCCTTATGGTCCAGCTTTCATCTAATGGCTTGCCAACAAAGCCAGAGGGGTACAGTAGATCCCCACACTTTTTGGACCAATGGTAACTTTTGGAAATTTGAGAAACTGCAGAGGGCACCACGAAATACCTAAGCAGTGGATCAGTGCTTTGACATCTGCCCGTCATCTTAGGCTGCATTATAACCAGCAAAAACGTTTACTTCATGTCTATTGGACAACACAACATCTCTTCAATAAAGGAATGTCTAATTCATGGTGGTGAAATACAGGTAATGCTTCTTTTAAAAATATGTTTTGGCAACAGTAGCTACTTCACCAGGGGAGTGGGTTATTACACAAACAAATTATGTACCAAAAGTCTTTAACAGTCACTAAATTAATGTTCACTTAATTAAAAATCACAAAATCAATATTAATATTTAATACCCATGCTCTTCTATATTTATCTGCTTCATGGAGAATAATAAATAGGTGGGGAAACAAGTTCTTATGGCTATTTTGACAGCTAAAAGACTGATATTATAAAATTGGGAAGATAAACACTCACTTCCTATGATGCAAAGGACTGAGGATTTTATACTGCTTTCTATACATGAACAGGAGGCATATCTGCACAGCCTCCACATGGATACCTATCTGGATATTTGGTCTGCTTTTGTTGAAACCTATGTATACATCACTAGAATGCTATATGCATTTCATACCATCCATGAATATATGTTGCAAAGCAGATTCTTTTAAAAGTAAAAAAGTCAGGTGAACACAGGCACCTCTGTGGATGCCACTGGGGATCAAGGCACTTGTGGGCACTATACTGGGGACCCCTCAAATCGAGTGCTGGACTGAGACTCAGCAGATCCAGGCTCTAGTCCACATGAAGCTCACTGGACCAGTTACAGGCTTCCAGCTTAAGCTAGACCACTGGATTGGTGTACAGATGAAATGTCTGCTGTTTTGGGGCTCTTTGCAAGAGGATACAGGTCAGAGATAAATATAATGAACAAAGAGAAAACTGGAATACAGGCTGCCCAGAGGATGTATGATCTACTTGTCCTGATAACTCAGACCAGCAGGTCCTACTCTTGCACATTCTCCCAGGTTAGTTTGTTCTGCAATTCAGAGAGAACAGATGCAAGTTCTAAAGTTCGCAAAACACTGGTAAAGCTTGGTCATGAAGCAAGGAAGTACTGAAGCAGAATTATTCACATTCTGTTACTGCAAATTAAGTTATTCAGGCCGCTCTCACAGAGAGAATGGCTTGCAGAGCTACAGAATGTGCAACCCCTTCACAATGAAGCATGCATACTAACAAAAATGAAGTATATCATTTCCAGCAAACAGAGCTGGGGACTTTTGGAGTCACGAGAGGCCCCTGTCACTGTTGAGTAACTGTTCTCCGTCCAAGAGAATTTTATTTTCCACTATGGATGGCTGCTTTTCGCAAAGCCTACGATGACAGGTGTAACACTTGATTCGCATCATTAACCAAGCACCAAGGTCAATTTTCTGGGGAACTCCTAGGTTTTCGAGAACATTGCCCTCTTATCTCAGGGGCACGACTACCACCCCCGTTCAACAAGCACACTTCCTTTATTAGTCTGGTCCTCCATCCTCGACCAAGACTGGGAAAGGAAGCAACATTCTAAGAGCTCAGTTACAGTTATACCGTACATACTAGTTGAACACAGTGGTATTTGTAAGTTGGTTCACTGTCCCATCCTTTGCCTTCCATGCTTCATCTGGACCCGGCGCCATGTATTAGAGCATGCAAACACTTGCACAAAAGCAATTGTGCAAATGTCTTTGTGTAAAAAAAGCAGTTAAAAATGTTCATGAATACATAGGTCTAAGAAAAAGCCAGTTGACTATGGAATCTGCAGGTCAGAGTAATCAATATCCAACCTCCTTTTAATTTTTCTGACAACCCTGTTTTAGCTTCAAGATGGTTTCTTATTAGAGCAAATATGGCCAGGTATATACACTCCAGCTAACTGAACTGGCCTCTGCACGCATTCAACTCCTTCAAGATCTGTTATTATTTATTTATTTAAAGTTTTTATATGCCGTCCCCTTGCTATATAGCCTTGGATCTGTTATCCAGGCAGATCCAGGCAAATTTTAACTCCTGGCCTGGCCTTATATTCCAATCAGAGCAAGAGATTGTTGGAAGTCAGCTTACATAGCAGCATCCCCTAAAAATAACTGAAAACATAATTTGATGCAAGTTTAGTTAGATGGGGCTTGCTGGGAATTGTAGGCCTTTTTTCTGAATCCAGTTGCATTCTTGCTCTGGTTGTTTATGGCATTAGCATAGTTAATTCCTCAATCAAAACTCATAAATTGGACTTTGTTTTGCAAAATGGATTTCTGCCCCTTTCTCTCTCACCTACTCATTCTGTTTAATTGGCAGTGAGCAAACTAACTACTTGTAAATCAAGTACAGTGAATTTCCCAGAACTAAAATCTGGCTGTTCCCGAGGAGATGGTGTGAGATGAGAGCCTTATGTCCAAGCCAAAAAAATCTTCATTTGAAAACTGAAAATTCTGCAGTGTTCTTGGTAACTACCTGTGATCTGCAATTGTCCAGATCTCTTATTATCAACATTGCATGAAGTAAGTATCCTCTTCACATAATGGGCATATCAATCATGAAAGATCACTCATGCATGGCATTTGGTCTCCTGGAGCAGAGGATGGATCTGAGGACTTAAGCTGTTATGCTACATGTATAATGCTTTACAACCAAAGGTCAACGTTTTCCCTATGACCATTCTTTA